TATAATATATATTAAAGAAATAACCTAATTTATATTTTTAATATAAAAAAAAAGAAATTATATAAACGTTAATAATAAAATATAATCAATTAAATTTTAAATCTTAATGAAATAAAATTGTATTCATTTTAAAAATATATTAATATTGGAAAATTATAAAAATTTTGTTTTTTTTTTCATAAGTACTATTTATAAATATTGAATGAATATTTATTTTGTATAAAATATCTAAGAAACTGAATCAACATACATTTTTTCTAAAACTATCACGACGATTATCACTATATTATTTTTTCAGGTTCAATGTCTAGGTCACTATCGAGGTATGCTATTTATACTCGCAGGTGGTTTGTATCAAGTATTCTTGGACAGTTTGAAACTGTCGTCATACCATTGAATTCGATTCTAACTTTCACCGAACACTTCACCTCGGTCTCTATTCTTCATTTAATATTTACTGTTTTATCGTTCATGATAGACAGTTTTTAATATCATTTATTAATAAAAATTAAAAATAAATTTATTATTATTAAAATTATTTTTATAAAATCTTTTTATTGTAAATTCTCTTAAAGAAAAAATTGCTCGTTAAAATAATCATTTTATATGTCAAGTAGTCAACCATATATTATATATAATAATCAGTCTTGTATGTTATGTAAAGAGATGTAAAGAGAAAGAAATGTATTGTATATATCTTTTATTTATTTCACAAAATTTACTTACCGTTTTTTTAACAGTGTCTCGCAAAGATCTCTTCAAATTGGCCAAGTTATGGGGAACTATCTTCAACTGAGCAATTGGAGGTGAAGAAGCATCGTGTCGACGATTTTTGCAGTCCTGACAACCATTCGCGATAACATTTCTGATTGCATTGGGAATATCCCAAATTTTCGTCGCCTCACGAATTACTTTGGCGGATGGACCTCTGGCAAAATATGGCACAGGCTTGCCATCGTGTGTGCAGACTCCAGTTATGATAACAAGAGTATCCTGTGCCTTAAATCGTAAAAATTATAACTCTTTTAATTATTACAGAATTATAATCTTATTAAAATAAAAATATAAGATAATAATCTAATTTATTATTAATTAATAAGAAAATATGCTCATTAACATATTCAATACAAAGAGTCACACTCTAATAATGGATATTAATTTTTGATGAATAAAATGCAACGAAATCAAAAATGATTGTTCACGATGACTATATGTAAAAGGAAAGCCAGGTTATGTGAAAAATTTCTTTTCATCTTTCACATTTCTGGTAAAAGTTCGTGACCAATTGCTGTAGAATAAGAACTCTTCATGATGCGACCGTATACGTTGTTACCATAAAATAGAAACTCTCCATGACGCGATCGTACGCATTGACCACCATAAAATAAGAAATCCCTATGATGCATACGTTCACATCATCCGTATTTGTTAGTAAACTTAATCAGTGGCACGTGTCGAAAGAATTATTAATTTTTACGAAATTATTTACTTCACGTTGTAGAGTTTCCAACGCAGAATTAACTTCAGAGGCAGGTACTGAGGCGACCAATATGAAACCTTTTTCGTTTTCAACCGATTTCAATTCCTCGACCATGTCTATTAAATTGGATCGAAGGAAATGCGCTCTGCGAGACGGAATGGGTTCCTCAGAGGCGCCAACGTTTCCAAGAGATTCCAACAACGAACGGAACAGGACCATCCTTATCTTCGAGAACATGTCGAACACGTTCCATGCAGCTTCGTCTGTTCGTGATAGATGAAATTTTATTTTAACTTTTTGCTTTAAAATTTAGACATGCTGGGCGAGAAAAATAATAAAAAATATTATTTACACGAATAAAGTAAGATAAAATAATAAAAATATTCGATCGATAATTAACTAGATTTGTAAAACGGACAATAGAAATTGTAATCAGTAACAACTTCAGAATTGCGTGATTTCTTTTAGTTTTACGTTTCAATAAAAGAATTAATAACTTAAATTTCGTTTAAAAATTTGTAGAATATCTTTCTAAGATATCTTAATAAAACTGCAATAGGTTAATGTAGTACTAGTAAATGGATAATATATGCAATAGCATATGTAAATTATAAAGCAAGAATTTTTTAATATATAGTACTTATTAAAAGAATAGAAATATTATATATTAATAAAATGAAAATGAGACCATCTTCTCGATTGCTTTGCGTAGACATAAATGAGGAAACACGATTGGTTGGTTTTGCTACGTCGATCACGTGCCAGTCACGAATTTCCGGTTTGAGCTTGTGAATCTCTGGTTTCATGTTATTCTCTTCAATTTCGTCGAACTCTTTCGAAAGCCCTACAGTTTCTTCGAATCCAAATAAGGATGGAATTGTGAAATTCCCATTTGACAATGTTCCTAATAAATAGATAATTATAATATACAAAATTATTTTTCTATATTGTTGAATAGATATTTGATAGAATAATTTAATTTATAATCAATATTTATACATAATTTGTATTTTTTATAAAATATATTTTGAAAAGATTAAGATTCTTCATAAAGATTCTTCAAGAAGAAGGATAAAAATTTATCAATCAAACCTGTAGTCATTCCTTTAACGTCTCGTGTCCAAAGCAATAATGACGCAATGTTTGAACGCAACATGTGCTCACAATCGTGTTTCTTGTCTCTGTTAGCAGAAATCAGTGCATCGTCCAGTGAGAATCTTGATTGAATCTTGTCCACTTGATTGTTGTTACAACTCTGAGAAATTTAATATATTTTAAATATAAATATATTATATTTTAAATATATTTTAAATATAATAAAAATTTAATATATTTTAATATATATATAAGTAATAGAATTATATTAATAACTTTTTTTTTTATATAACTTGATGATAAATGATAACCAATAAAATAGAATATCAATATCTCTATTTCTTCACTTAATAAATTCTCTAATAAATCAATTATCAAGAATTTCTTTTCTAAAAAATAAATGAAAATTGATCAAGGTAATCAAAGATAATGGAAAATCATACTTGAAGCATTCCTTCTACAGAGAAGAGATGAGAAGCCTTGAAGTTCTTCCAGAATTCCTCCTGATCCTGGCCAGGATCAGCAATGATCATGACAATATTAATGTTTTTCCCATTGTCTATGACGAAATCGAATCTTTTATCGCGTGCCGCGTCTGCAGGACTCGTTTGCTCCATCGTCTTCGTCGACACCTTCGTGTCTGAGATTTGCAGACCCTTATCGATCCCGGTCACTTCCGTTTTCGGGCTGGAAGTGTGGTCCACGGTGATTTTTTGATCTGTCTCTAACGATGGCACCACGTTCCAAGTAGCTGGAATATTTACTAGAAGAAAGATAAATTGTAATGTAATGTATAGAAATATGAAAATAGATTTTTATTAATATTTCTGATTATATTTTTATTCACCTTTGAATTTTTCGTTTTGGGTATTCAAAAATTCTGAAAAAATTCAGGATATCTTGTTAAATTTCTATCTTATTATGCAGTAAATTTTTTTTACATTATTTTGTCACAAGATTTCTTCAATAATTATTCAAAGTATTCATAAGAATAAAATTTGATCTAATTGAAATCTTCTTCTTTATGTACCTCAAAATAATTAGTATTATAATATTAATTATAAAGAAAAGAAACATTATTACTAAATTAAATAAAAGTGTCTTACAAATGAATTAAACTTTATTGAAAATATTCCAATTTTTACTAATCATTTTTATTTCAAAATTGAAAAGATTAATTATTACCAAGAAGATTCCATAAATTTAATTAATTCATATATCTCAATTGACTTTAAAGAATTTTTTTTTTTTTTTT